TCAGCCTGCAAGGGTTTTACTCTGTCTACCTACTCATTAGGAAACATTCTTTTTGGCTCTCCTGCATAAAAAGGCTTCATTGTTAGGTGCAGATGTCTTCATTTAATCACATTTTTTAATCTGGTGTAGGTACATAATTAAAATGAAATTCTCTTAGATCTACAAATCTTCCAATTGCAGAGGAGCAGAATGATCATTTGTGAGTTGTTCTGATTCCATTATTATTTAAAAACCAAATTGCATTCGTGATATTGTCTGATTGTTAGCTACTGTTCGCTTGAACTACTGAACTAATTCGAGTGAAACAATATTTACAGATCAATAAAATGCATCTTTGAGTTTCGACTGGCACAGCTTCGATTTAGGGAAGTTTGACTTTGGTTAAACAAACCATTATATGCATTTTCCATTGCAAAAACATACAACATATAAATAAAATTGCAATTATGTTGCACTATTTAAATATTCTTCAACTACAGCATTTGCCTGAAAAATAATTTGAGAACAAATCAAGAAAAACCATCTGAATATTATTAGTTGAAACAGGAAGAAAACTGAATTGACAAGGAAATTGTTGCTTATAGCCAGACAATCTACGAAAATGGCCAAGCGATGAAAAAAGACGAAAATGTTATTAAGGGAAGAGAGAAACCAGGGCTTGAAACTGTTTTCAGCTTCAATTTTAAACGAAGCGAACTTTTAAATGTACATTAAGTTTATTAATCAAGACAGTCATAAAAAATGTGAGGGATTGGAAGCAGTTAAAATCGCTCAACAAACGGCTAAACAAATTGACCAAAAAATGGTGGAAACAGTGAAAATAAAAAACAAGTTTTGTCAGTTTCCCTATTAGTTGATAAAATTTACTGTTTTTTGTTTAGACTGCGTTTTTAACTGCTTGACATTGACCAATCTTTAAAAAATCTGTATGTTTCCTCCCAAATATATTTTTTGGCTTTATATCAATGGCATTTGCCACACACTTTGTCACACACACAGAATAATAAATCTCTGGTTTATGGATCAACCGTTTGAAATCAATTGTAATCTTCAATATTCTCATTTTATACATCTTGCAAGCATTGTTAGACCGCCTAGATTATATCATTAGCTTACAAAACAGAAATGACACAGTAACCAACAAGCAATCTGCGAAACAATGGCAGTTGGTTAATTCGACATTATTCCATTTGATTTCACATTATAACTCTTTTGTAGGTACAATACTTAACATGCGTGTGGCATAATCAATTATACGCGGAAAGAATTGATTGGTATGATATAAGTGACTGGTGTTGAGGCACTCTCCACATTGGAGAAGACTAGAATTGCAAAATTATATTCTTGAAAGCCCGACAGTTTTTTGTATTCTCTGTTCAAACGTTTCAAATATATAGTTCACTGCTTCAATCACACTCTAAACTGACAAATATTCAGCTACATAAGCTTTTTAAAATGGCCATTGCTTTCTTTCGGTAACAATCCAGAACGAATTAATTTTGTGGTTCTTTTCGAGCATATCGCATAGCGTCCACCATGCATAATTCGCTGAACTAAAACGAGAAAACTGAATGGAAACTAGTACTATGGACGAACTTTTATAGGCACATTTCACACTTGTTCACGTATCGACTCTATTATCCTGCTCCACCTTCTGTCGTCGTAAAATAACGTCATATTACAACCATACACCCGCCGCTGCAGATCCAGCAGATTTCATCGAAAGCATGCTTCTTTTGTACAGTATTCGCTTCTAAAATTTCGAAAAATCTTGACAATTCCAGCGGACAAGCGTCTATGAATAGGGATTACAAAAGATCCCAGGTACAGGGATTTGAAGTCATTGTTGAGCTGAACTTAAGGGTCGGTCATTTCCCGTATTTGATCTATCGGGCATGAATGTGATGAATAGTCGAATGGTACCCCCGGACATTGTGGCCTGTTTTTGTTTATTTCATTTTACGGATTATTCATGCCTGATTAGAGTTTTTAATGGCTCAAAGTGGGATTTGCAACCCGGAATGGTGCGCACAGCAGTTCGATGTTAAGTTATACGAAGATAAGTTATGTTTACGCCTATTTCTTCCGAATCGGACATGGCAAGTCAAGGCAATAAAAAATCTATCAAATAACGCAGGTAAGGCACGTCTGCGCTCAATTAGCACTCAATCTGCCATATCGGCCCATAATGAAGCCATTTTCATGCAATTATCAAATAAAAATAAGCAGCATTCAAGGAAGCGACCGATCGTCGCATTTATTAGCTGGCCACGAATGGTGAGAAGCCATTCCGAATGGCTGTCACGACGATTCCAGCTAAATGTCGATAAATAACTTAATTTGCACGTGTTACTCGTTCGTAATTTATCTAAACGTGAGTATTTCTATTATTTATATACGCCCCAATTGACTGGAAGATTTAGTTGCAATTCGTTGATCGGAATCTTGATTTCAAATCAAGGGATCAACATCGCATAAGCAGCAACAGAGTCACCGCTTATGTGGCTACTTCATGTTAAATGTGCATTAATAATGAAAATGCTTTTAAATTACTTTTAAAACTACCTACTTTCATGCAGTGCATGAACCAAAATAAATGAAAAATAGCTGACCGATCTCGTAAGTAATTAAGACTGGCACTGAATAAAATGGGCATCTTTTTAGGCTTCTCAAAACAACAACAACAAGCGATTCATTCAGAAACATTCTAATTAAAAAAAAATGTTATTAAGTCATTAAGCTTCAATCCTGCATTGACTTTTCATCGATTTACAAACGTGCGCTTGAAAACTGCGGTTCTCGAAACAAACAACCAATCGGAAAAACATTCCAATTTCGAAAATAGTGGAAACCTCCATCTGCAATTTGTTCAAACCGTTAGCGAGTCTTTAAGCTGCATGATCATGTCAAATTTCACACAAATCTATGATCGATAAAGCTTTAATAGTATCACATTTCATCAAAATCCAAGCTTATGGGGATTTTTCATCAGCCTCCCAGCTTAAGCTTCAAAAGTGCGGTTCGGTTCCAGATACAAGCAAAAAAATTATAATTTTGAAAAAAGTGGGAATCGCCCTCCAACAGTACCAAATTGTCTAGGAAATGCCGTTCTCGAAATAAGAAACAGATCTGAGAACAAATCTTATTTCCAAAGCTGAATTTCTGCAAGCTGTTAATAAATCCTCAAGCTACAAGAGCTCCGAAATGTTCTTCATATTCGAACACTCGTTAATTTTTGCTCGACATTCAAACTTGCGTCTATCAAGTGCGATTCTCAAAGCAAATTACTAGTTGGGAAAAAGCTTCTAACTTTGAAAAGAGTGAAAATCTAGCAACTACAATTTCTGCAAGCTGTAAATAAGTCCTCAAGCTACAAAAGTACCAAATTTTCCTTCATATTTGAGCGACAATTATTGCTTCACTTTCAAACTTGCACGTAAAAAGTGCAGTTTTCGAAACAAACAACCCGTCGGGCAAAATTCTCTAATTTCGAAGAAAAGTGAAAATTTTGATCTGCCATTTCTACAAGCTGTTAATAAGTTCTCAAGTTACAAAAGCACCGAAAGTTCCTTCATATTTGAGAACGCGATAATTTCTGCTCGACTTTCAAACTTGCGCCTAAAAAGTGAGGTTTTCGAAACAAACAGCTAGTCGGGAAAAATTGACTAATTTCGAATAAAAGGGAACATTTTGACCTGCAATTTCTACAAGCTGTTAATAAGTTGTCAAGTTACAAAAGCACCGAAATTTCCTTCATATTTGAGAACACGATAATTTCTGCTCGATTTTCAAACTTGCTCCTAAAAAGAGCGGTTTTCGAAACAAAACAACCAGTCGGGAAAAATTGTCTTATTTCGAACTGAAATTTCTACAAGCTGTTAATAAGTTGTCAAGTTACAAAAGCACCGAAATTTCCTTTATATTTGAGAACACGATAATTTCTGCTCGACTTTCAAACTTGCGTCTAAACAGTGCGGTTTTCGAAACAAACAGCCAGTCGGGAAAAATTGACTAATTTCGAAAAAAACAAAAAAATTCGATTTGCAATTTCTACAAGCTGTTAATGAGTCCTCAAGCCACAAGAATATCGAAATTTTCACACACAATCACAACAAATAACGAGCCAGGACAAATACGCTAATCTCGAAGAGTGAAAATGAAGATGAAAAGATGAAGAAAAAAGCTTGTTATTTGGGTATTTCCCCTTGACTTTAAGGTGTTGTGGAACGAGTTTCTTGTTACCTACAGTTGATAAATAGTACGATTTAAATTTTCTTATACATAAAGTACAATTTCAGTTTTGAAATATAAAATATATTCCTATTTAGGCTCAAAAGGGGAACTCATTAGAGAATGCACTTTAAATAGTTTGGTTTCTGTAAAATTTCCAAGGTTTTTCATCAGCGACTTGTACATTTCAAGTCCGCAGAAATATTAGTCAATTCACTAATGTTTTTTGTCTCTACTTTGAAACTAACGAGTTTTCAGGAATTTGAGCCATTGTTGAAAATAATTTCTCCTCGACGTTTTGCACACAAGCATCTTCAGAGATGGAGAACTGGGTTTTACAAGCAAGTTGCTGGCATCAGTTATCTCACTCGCCCACATACGACTCTATGAGAGATGCAAGATGGCTTGCAGAATGTTATGTTCCAACTTGATCCCTTTTCGGCTTAAATAGTTATCTCGTTTTAGCGGGAGAAGTTGGAAAACACAATTTTCTTCGCGTTCAATCCCGGAAAAATTATTTGAAGATTGATGATTTTAGGGTTTTTATTAACACAACCCGGACGCTTCCACTCAAAATACAGACATCTTTGAATAAATCGAAATTTGAAGCAACATCCAAATACAAGAGTTCGAAAACGCAGATTATTCGGGCTCCCAAATTCGCTCCGAAGGACCAATTTGCTTAATAAATCGCATCTACAACTTTAATAATTTGATAATTCTGCCGACTATTAGAGTGTTGAAAGTGCGCAATTATCTGGGAAACTCACCTTGGTGGCGGAGGGAACCCTTGGGGAGCTTGATGGGTCCAGGGGTACCGATCCGGGAACGGCGGAGCAAGGGGGTCCGACGAAAACGCAGCGTAAGGCCCCCCCGAAAAAGACATTAGAGGCGGGCCGGCGGACAATCCCCTCACAGTGCCGTCCTGTTTTTCGGGCATCAGTAAGTGTTAACTGGGGCAGAGTTTCTGAAAACACCAAATCAAACCAAATGTCCGCTTAAATAATCGACAAGCTTTGCGTGGACGTTTTCCAATTAGGCGAACAAATCACACCGATTTGGTTACTTACATCAATGAAAATCATCATCAACAAAGTCCCCCAGTTAGAAATCCAAACACAAAGTCTTTATTAATTTTCATGCACATCAAAACTCAAACAATCCAGTCCAGGCTGAACGAAAAGCGACCGCAAAGAAAACTGTCCAACGCCTACGTCACTGCCGGGTACTATCGTAAATAAATCGGGTTGACGTAAGACACTGACTCCGCATAACAGTGCGACTCGGTACCGACTAGAAATCTTGCTCAAGAAGGGCCATGGTCAGAATCACGAAAATAAGTCAGAGTGGGGGGGAAAGCAGTGGCGTGCCACATTGCCGTGGTTGATGTCTTCATTAGGAGAAGAATGCCGCGGCCCCTGTCTGCCTATATTGGAAGCGTGTTACAAGTTATGTTGGTTACACCTTCATCCGGGGGCTTTTGCAATAGTGGACATGATGGATTTTATCGCTAAATCTCTCTTTATATGGATTTGACCAGTCGGATTGGTTTTCGAAATCTCGACAATAGCCAGCGCAGGTACGGCAAGTGCGAGAGAAACCTTTAAAATCTCAACCTCAACAACCATTATCTCCAATTTACCACTCAGCTCAAGAAAAACAACTATAAGCAGGGGATGACTAAATATTTTTTTGCTATTTGAAGTGAAGATTCTGAGAGGTGTGGAATTGACCAAGCGCTTTATTATCAATTTCTGAGTAGCACTCAAGCGAGTACCGACGCCTCTATGTGCAAGCAGCTTAATTTGACATTCAAAGTACTCTTCAATCACTCTATACAGAGTGATTCAAAATTGGCGTCATTCCTCTGGAGGTGTTGTCTGGCGCTGTTATAGGAGTACAGAAAAAATAGTAAAATAAATTAATTGTTATTAAAAACTGAGAAATTTGCAAAAAACTATATCAGAAATACGGCAGCAATGTTTTTCAAGGTAATCTGCCTAATTAACATTGCGCAAATACCTCTGGCTTCGTAATTATTTAAAACTCCGGTAACCATGGAATTATACAGACTGACAATAACGACATGTTGACGAAATGTCAACAATTTTTCTTTTTTAATGCTTAAGTATTCCAATATGCTACCAATTAAACATGGAACCATTTCAAAATAATGCTTAATAATAAAGTTGAAATTCGATCTTCAACTGTTAATATCTTCTAGAAATTTTCGAAAAAAAAATTTTCAATATTTTTCTCGTACTCCCCAAGTGAGCCTCCATCACCCCTTAAAAGGAATGACGCCAATTTTGAATCACCCTGTATATTTTCAGTGGTATGACACCCAAAGTTTTGTTTTGGACCCGATTTGTTCGTTTCACGAATGAAAAATAGGTGGCAGGTACAAAAGTACTCAAAGTCCTCACAAGGTAGGACCAATCGATATATTTATAAACATTAGAATTAATCCCAGGACACCCTCGATTGTTCGCCAGCCATAGGCGTAGTTAATATTCATATTAATCGATTTATTGTACGTCTAAAAGGTTCTTTGATCTTTCGACCTGCATATGAACATTATCCGTTTGTAATTCTACATGCTAAAACAGTAACGCAAAATTTTTAGGCATTTAGTTTCTGGCATTACTTTTGGCTTGAATATTCAATATAACTCAAGCCACTGGCAACTGTCTATAAATGTACAAGAGGAAAATAGGTTAGGAAAATTCAGACCCACTTTCCTACAAAAATCGCTAGAAGTTTCCGAATTTACGAGCCCAACGAGTCCATTTTCCCTTCCTATAATTTTCCTATTAAAGATTCCCCTCATTTGCGGTGCTGCCATGTTGAATATTTTATTAGGTTTTCTTGTAATTCTCACCAGGAATTATTATGATTTTTCAGATTCAAATTTCAATGCGGTATTTCTTCAATATCAGTTGCTTGTCGTTTTTTAGAAACTATTTAAGTATAACGCAAAATACATTCTTGGCTACTGCTTTCCTGATTTTTATGATCCATCGTGGTCCTAACAGAAAAATGCCAACAAATGCATTTGTTTAATCTCAGGTAACCGCACAAAAAAAAAACAAAAATTTAAGTCAGTTTCTTACGAACGGAAATGCTTGCAGAGGGTAACAGTTGATTTGTATTTTTTTCTTTTGATGCTTCTAAGGCATATAAACTTTGACCAAAATCAGCAAGGACTGAATATTGGGACACATTTTTGCAAAAAATCGTGGCTGCAAATGGTCGCAATTAAATATGCAAAAACATCGGGATGCCACTGCTTTTGAAACCCCATTCTTCGATTTTTAAATCGCCCATTATTTTACTAATGTAAATGTATCTTAAGGAGTCTTCTGTAATTTTTCAGTTGCTCTTTCCAATAGAGAAAACCGCCTACTATATATTTTTATCCAGGTATTTGAAATTTTCAATAGAGTCGAAAAACCCAAAGTTGATAGTCGTATTTTTAAACAAACGAGAAAAACCGGACGCACGCCGCGGTTAACAAAATTCGATTGTCTTTTATTGTGAAAATGTCTTTTAATGATGGGAAATCCACTGCCAAGTTTTACTTGTTTTAGAAACTTAATCAAATTCAAAATGAAGTTTTACCGTCCGGTATATTCAAAGCTTTAGGAAATATAGAATAACCTAAAACGCTCGGTGTATTAAGAGTCTCATCCCATCGATTAAAACAAGATGATAACTGCATACAGGGTGATTCAAAATTCAGTGCAGTTTTCATATTTTCTATAAACATGAAAAGTTCCGCAAAAAGACAAAAAATTGTGAAAAATTTTATTTCGCCCTCTCTTTGTGGCGTTTTTCATTTCGGGTCTTAAAAATTATGTTTTTCCAATTTTCAAATAAATCAATTGATTAGGCCTTCTTACATTTGTATTAACTGTTATTTAAACAGAAATACGAAAAATTGTCCAGACGAATTGGACAGTCAGGCAGTGATTTTAAATGTTGATTCTTGAATTTTCTAGCGACAAAAAGCGTTTTTAAACAAATCGATGTAGAAAAAGCTGGTGGATCTTAGCCATTATTCATAGATTTTTCCTGCAATATTTCTCTAGCTTCATAAAATTGGGTCCGTTTGATTGGGAGAAGATTTCCGCTCAAGTACAAATTTCTTGTTGTCATTGATCTTCAAAATTGAAAATCAAGCGCATTTCTCCGAACTTTTGGCATCGCTCTGTATATTCCACCTTGTGTTCACTGACCAAAAGACTAATTTTTTTAAAAACAGTATTCGGAGTTTTGCAATAAATATAATCAAAGATTTAATTGTTCTTCTATTTGTCGCGTATTTCAAGTCCTGTATCAAGTATACATTTTTGACAAATAAATTGATTGAGCCTTTTTCTTGCAATTTTAATGACTGTGATTTAAACAGGACTTGGAAAAATTGCATACACAATTTAGGCAGCTAAGAAAATATATTGAATTTTGATTCTTTGAATTTTCCAGGTAAAAAGCGGCGTTTTCGAACAACTCGATGTAGAAAAAGCTAGTGCATTTAGCATTAACCAACATAGCAGACGATGATTCTTAGATGTTCCCTGCATTTTTTTAAYYTCTAGTTTCATGAAAATGGATGCGTTTAATTGGGAGAAGAATCTGTTCAAGAACAAATTTCTTATTGTCCTCTATCTTCAAAATAAAAACTCAAGCGCATTTACCCGGTCTGCTAGCATCGCCCTGCACCTACACTTAAATTTTTGTTCAAAGCATTGGTGTCTACTTTTTGGGATTATATTATTTTAAATTGCAAATTTTATGGGAACTTGGACAATTAAGAGAACTACCAGCACATTAGTTCGGGCTTTTTCACACAAGATAATTGACCTTTGAAAAATGAACAAAATGTGTCGCATTCATCAACCAGTCATCAGCAGGAGCTAAAAACCACACGCAATCGTTGCACTGGCAGCAAGAATTTCACCAAGAAAAACACAATTAAATGGAGTTAGAAGATGAAGTCGGGCTGTAAAACCGTAAATTGGTCAATTGTTGCTAATCCAACTTCGAAAATGTTTTCAGAAACGTGATCGAAAATATAACTGAATTGATTTCTCCAAACCAAAGGATTAATGAGCATCAGCAAAATTTCTAAGGCCGCCCTACATTCATGAAACTAACGCAGAATTAAGGGCCTATCTCTAATGTGTGGTAAACTGACAAAAGGTGAAACCAACAAGCGTGAACGGATTATGCAGGGTAATTTGTGTAAAGCCGCTTATACCAGTTCGGGGTAATAAATCGCACCCATAAACTGGTAACAAAGTAACAACCCTCCCAACGTTGGTAGCATACAATGGGCACTTTTGGGGCGGGGGCTAAATTTTCCACCCTTGTTTACCGGTTGAAGGATGAGATCTTTATTAGGGCATACGGTTACCATGGCTGATGAATGCAACCAAACGTGATCTGTGAATAACCGTGAGTGTTTTGTATCCGGCCTCCATTTCTGAACTACCTACTAATCAAGTTTGATGAAAATATCTTGGAATATGATAAAACGATGGAACCTGCTGCCAACCTTCCCTACTCCGACTTCTTTAGACGTAAAAACAGTAAAAGAGTGGTGTGGAAGCAAAATCGTTGCGATGGTGGTTCAATATTCCCTATCCACAACATGACAACCACGCAAAGAATATCTTAATAGAGTCATTTGACCAAAGAAGAGTCGACCGAAAAGCAACCTCGAACTCTCCGGCAGGAATTTGGCCCTTACCACCCCCTCCACCCTTCAGGTACCGTGGTACCAGGATTTCGGTACTGCTCGGTTCGATTCGGAGCCAGTCGGTGACTCGAAATTGAGCGCTCACTCCTACGACGTGATTGTGGTACTGCTTTTAATGATCCAAAACAAATAATGAGAATCGTGCTGGCCGGACCAATGATGGAATGATGGTCAATTGGAAATTCGATTTTATGGCTGGGAACATTGCTGGAAATAAGCCAGCAAGTCATAGAGCAGAAGGCAGGAGTTTCTTCGGATGAATTCGATTCTGAGGCTCTTGACATGGCAAGCAATTTCCTTCTATGTCAAGCTGCATTATAGAGACATAAACCGAGTGATATGTGGCTCATTGCTCTTTAAATAGCGTTTCGTCACTTATTTCAACCCATCCGTCCATTAAAACATATTTTACGAGTTAGTTTATTACTTATTTACGTCTGGAGGGCTTTGCAAGACAATGCCGACGTACTTCTTGTGTCATTTAATGTGCTGCGCTAATAGAGGCTCTTTGATTTCCTTATTGGAACC